TTTGTAAGGCAGTGCATCAGTATTAGATGTGAATTTTATGAGTGCTCAAACTGGTGGTTTATGATCTTACATAAATTATCCATGTATTTCTTATTAGTGTAATTAATAGTTTGCTTTGTATTTGATCTGCAACATGTTTATATGATGAATAGCTCTTTTTTATTAATTCAGGTAGATTGAGAACAGTTTAACAATAAACATCGTGGAAAGCTAGTTTTCCTTTTAGATTAAGGGAACAATATACTTGACAGGTGTTTCCTGTTTCTGTTTTTAATTAATATTGTTTGCAGTAGTTTTAAGCTTTTCAGACCTCTCTTCCTGACACAAGCTTAGATTATCAGCTTCAGAGATACTTAGATGCATCTAAAATTATTCATGCAGCCAAGCAAATGAATGTTGCATAGTTTATGTGCTTGAAGTATTTGACAGACCTGTAACTGGTGTAATTAAAATGCTAATGGAAAGTTAATTTATTATCTGTTCAGATTTGAATGATACATTAAATGACACCATAGATTTTGAGAATCATTGCCAACTGTGATACAGAGGACCTCAAGAGATAGAATTTCATGGTTCTTGTTATTCTTTTTTCTGTTCATCAGTCAATAATACCTTATTCTGTTTTCCATCTTGGATCCCAAAACATGTAAGTCTCTTGATAGAATCTTCGGATCTCTTGAAAACTCTTCAAAGATGGTTTATTAACCATCTTTACACAGTTTGGCCCACTGTTGTTCATTGTACCTCTTTGGTTGTAGCGATTTTTATGAAACCAGGTTGAGTATCCCATGTGTATTTGCACCTCCTCCTATCCTAGGAGTTGGTACTGAGCACTGTTACCTGTGTTTTTCAGTGTCTTATGCCTGTGGCTTTAGTTAATCCATCCTTAAGGGCTGTGTGTCCACACTGTTGTTCACACGCTGCTGTTACCTGGGGTTTCTGTTCCTGCCCTTTCCTCCTGCTTCAGCTGTCATCTGGGGATACTGAGTTTTTCAGAACAAGAACTGCTTTTAGATGTTTGGAAAACAGTACCCTGTTATAAAGCAACTTGTAAATACAGTCAAGTAGCAACTTCCAGGTGTATCTAAGTGAAAAAGTAGTGTTGTAACGCTTAATCTCTGTGTAGATGCATCTTAATGTAGTATCACTGCTGGAAACAGAGCAGTCAGCATTTAGTCTCATACAAAGCTTATTGAAGTTGAAGGACAGGTTCTCTTTGGCTTCGGAGGGCTTTGAATCCCCAAATCATAGTGAGATTTCAGTATTTGTGGTCCTCCTGAAATCAAATGGCTGAAATTTAAGCTATTAAATAATTTCCCTGCTATTGAAAATTGTAGCTGAATTTATTTCAACTTAGAAGGATTAAGCACACAGCACATGTTAACTGTGTATAAAGATCTTACGTGTTCATTTTTTCACTTTCAAAGTACTAAGGGATGCTTAGAGGGAACGAGATTTTTTTTTTTTGAGAACTTCAGCCATGGCAAGACCTCTGATTTTTGGTGAAAAGGTGAGCGCAGAATCTAGCTGAGTTATGACTTTGGAATCAAAATGTTTTTATATCTGCTACATATCCAGGGTGTTGTGGATATCTGGATTTGCTAAATGAGAAGTCCTCTACTACAAGTGATGTGGGAAGGATTGATCTGATATAGAGAAACGGAGGCGGAACCCATTTGTTTAAATCTGATTTTACCTGGACGATGTAAAAACTGTGTAGCCTAGTTTCAGAACTGTTTTACAGACATCGCTTTTAAATTACATTGAAAGCAAAGCAGGAGCTTAAGACTATGGAAGCAAACTGAGTTAATGACAGCGAATGGGTTTTAAGGAGAAAATATGTAAGACAAATTTTACCGTAGTTTTCAAGGATCAGTTTGTGTTGGCTTTTAAAGACAAAAAGACCAACTTTTCAGGGTTAGACTGGAGATTACTTGTAAGAAGCAGCAGTTCCTTTAATACATTGTCACTTCCTTCATTTCCTGTCAGTACAAGGATTGAACAAGTATGCCTCTGCCAGCTTTTCTGGGTTGTATCAGATAATATTGTATCAGATTGCTTGTCCTCATTCTGTCTGCGGACTAGAATTTGCATTGGTTGCTTTCAAGTGTGTGCATTTATCTGCTGTGACATCTAAAATATTTGACTTAGATATGTCTTATTCAGAGTAAATTTACAGAATGGAATAGTCAAGCCCTGGGCTCGGTTTTAAAGCTCAAATATTAAAATACCAGTGCATATTCTTCTCATGATTGATAAGAATTAGGTGGGACATCAGGAGTTTTAACTGCAGCTAATCATAGCCACTAGATGTATGTCACTAAAAAAGCACCTCCATTCTGTATTTAAGTTAGGTTACTGTTAAATGGCGAAAATAAGCATGGATCTATTACGAATTGGTGAAAATGAAGATCAGACAATTTCACTTTAATTTTGTTAAATTGATTTAAAATTGATTCTTTTTGAGAAATTACTATCATTCAGACATTTTAGAGAAGCACTGCAAGTTTTTCATTATATAGATGATATTTTCAAAGCTCTGTTCACTGAAACCCTGTCTTAAACTACCAAGAGTTAGCAGATTATGCAGCTTTGACCAGAAGTGAGAATAAAGAAACTGGTCACTCCTCCTCTTTTTTTCTATATATATCTATATATCTGAATTAGCAAGAATAATGATGCTTTAAGGGAGGAAAATTTGGTTTCATATCAGTGAGCATCTTTTCCTTTACAAAAATGAATTACATTTCAATACAAAGAAACGTTCACTCACACAGGGATTCCCACTCCTGATATCCTTTTTACTGTTAAAATCTTTCAAAACCAAGCCCTGAACTTAATTTAGAGTCTTAGTAAAATGATGCTTTGACACCCCATGAAACCTTTCTGTAACTGTATGACCAGAAATTTTGTAACTATAGTTAGCAAAATATTTACTTTTATATTAGCTCCAGATTTAGAATCTCTTGGATTTTCTAATCTATGTATCTGTTAATCTATATGTAATATTCTTCAGCAATACATTATTTTTGATTATAAAATTGTGTAGGCTTAAATATTTGCAAGATCAAAAGCCAGGAACAGCCCCTTTCCGTATAAAGGCATCTGTTTTTTCAGTTGCTGCCCAAGTGGAAAATTGGAAAGAAATCGTTGTGCTGTCAGATATCTTTAGGGCATAGCTAAAAATTGCATGTGTCCTTTTTGAGAATAATACATGTAGGAAGATGCAGGTTTCAAAGAACACTACAGGGAAAGTGAGTAAAACCACATATAAAGGATATGTCCTCCCCGTTGTTTTTAAGAGAAACATAGGCCATCCTTTTGGAAAAGTTAAAATAAATGCAGAAATATAGCAATTTCAGGTAAGGTCTTTAAAGCCAGTCCTGTACAGGAAAGGTAAATGTTCCCCTTGTAATGTTTTCTGAATGCAGTTTCTTAACAATAAGAATATCCTGCTTTTGAGCGAGAGAGCACAAAATTATTCATACTGAGGCGTGGCTTTATTGCCCATAGAGCACTGCATTAAAGGAGCGGTTTAGAAACTGCGGGCTTAACTGTATTTCCAGCAGTTTTATTTCTATTTACTATGTATCTGTACCCAGTGCCTGACTATTTCTGCTTATGGTAGCTGTGGCTGTGCAGGGTGTTGCCCTGTTTTGTAACCCACCTCTTTTCCCTTGGATGCAGCTGCTGCTTTGCCAGCAGACTGTCCGTCTCAAACTTTGGGGCTCAAAACCCAAAGGTCTTACTTTATCCATCCTTATGGGTTTACTTACTGTCCTGTGCAGTCTAGTTTTGTGGTGATTTAGTCTGTGTAGGCATCCTCCTACCACCCACAACCACTTCCAACTTGTTCCACTGATTTGTTCTCCTTATTATCTAAACAAAGAGTAAGCTACGCAGTTGAAATGCGTATACTTAAAGGGATAATGTCAATATAAATGTAAACATATTCACAATTTGTTATTAAATTTAGATCTTTAGCATACTGCTTCTTCCATTTCTCTATTACGGGCTTTGGAGTGCAAAGAAGCTGACACAGGAAAAAAAATACATGAGCAGCTCAGACTTAACAAGTATGCTGTGCTTGTGTTAGACACTGCCTGTGTGATTCTTGGAGGCTGTGAGCAGATGAACAAGTTCTTGTGAAATAACATCTATGGTGCATTGTCCATGTGGAGCAACGAAGGACAGAATCATGCTTCTTGTCGTGTAAGGGCAGATATATGACACACTGCAAAATTCCCTTGCCAGCTTAGACTTGTAGCAACATGTTTATCGGCGCAGACCTTTGTTATTGCTGCTTGTTTGCTCGCTGCTTTCCATGGCAAAAGTGCCTCCTGCTTTGTTCCCAGTTTAGTCTTACTGCCTGACTGGAGAGAAGGGTTCATTCTAGCCCTTGTTATCAGGCCCTCGTTATCTATTTCCCTCGATGGAATTGAGTTTGAGAACTGCTTTTGTGTTTAAGGCTTTTAGCATTGTGCCCTTCCTCCTTTTGTGAAAAGGGCAAAATATAGAGAAGTTCAGTAACTTCTCATCTGTAAACAAATGGGCTGAAAGAGAGAGAAGGTTCCAGCCTCCTCCTCCTCAGTGGGTTTGGTCAGAGAGGCAGCAGAGGAGGCGACGAGAATGCACACTCATCAGGTTTTCAGATCACTGTTTGTTTTATTATTGGATTGTAAAGTTGGTGATCAAATTCTCTCTTTTGTTTTTAAATAACAATGATTCTCATTTTCCCTAACTTGAAAAAAAAAATAAATTGCAAAAGTGTATGGACACCTGCCTGTAAAGACTTTTTTTTTCAGTTCAGTAGAGTAATTTTGCTTTAAGGATATCATTAAGGATAACTTGCAAATTGACTAAATTTTCTGTAAGCCTTCCTGACTTTTTATGTGAAGCTATTAGATTTTATTTTCTGATTAAAATAATTTTTTCTCACTTCTTCCTTTTTAATCTTTTTTTTTTTCAGGCTTCCTTAAGCCAGACTTGATATCGATAGAATGAAAAAGTTCAAGAGAAGACTTTCCTTAACCTTGCGTGGAAGCCAGACCATCGATGAATCTCTGTCTGAGCTAGCAGAACAAATGACAATTGAAGAAAACAGCAGCAAAGATAACGGTACGCCTATCGTTCACTTTGCAAAAAATGCAAGAGTTTTGTCAGGACCTGCCTGAGTATGCATTGTTGGATTTTTCATTTTTCACGATTGCATGGACTTCCTCACTAACCTTTTCTTTTGATTTATCTTACATTTGCCTACTCTAGTTCTTTTAACAGGTTGATATGTTGTTACATATTGGTTTGCTTTGATACTGAACTGTTACACCTTTTCCAACCTAAACAATTCTATTTACCAAAAGCTACCTAAATTGATATCTTAATGTGGTGTGCAGCAAGGATTGTAGATGCTCTTTCAGCAGACAAACCCATTACTGTATGAATTTAGTGGGTCTCACATCAACTTCATATGGCTTCGAATTCAGGTTTTTTTCTCAAAAACATTCATTAATATGATTGATAGTAATTGCTTAAGTGTTATAAATAAAACATTGGTGATGCAGTGCACTAGTCTGAGAATTCTGTCACCTCTTCATGTCTCTGAACTGTACTTCTCTTCAGCAATATGAAGGCAGCAAGAAACATTCAGGATAACCAGCTTGCCTGTGTATTCTTGCTCAAGACTTTGGCTCATCCCATAAACATACTGGCTGCTGTAAAGTCCACAGCAACGATGATGTCGCTTTTGAGTGCAATCTGCAACATTAATGACTGGAAGAGATTTTGTTGCTTTGTTATGTTTCTTGGGCTGCAGCATCTAAGTCATATTTCATCTTTTATGCTGATTAGTGCCATTTCTTGTTCTGTGCTGACATCCAAGATTTTCTCAAGTATCAAGTGATCTGAATTTTATTTTTTTTCCCCACTTCACACTAATAAATGATTCTATATTTTCCCACTGAAAACTGACAGGGCTGTGAAATTTGAGCAGAAGCAGAGGCGGTGGAATTTGCCCTGCAGACTTTTAAACCCCCATCCACTATCTGTTGCATCCAAAGCTTTTGAAAGCTGAATTTACCTTTGGCATAGTTTTCATTTTTACCTTAATCCCTGGTATATTCATTGCTATTGTCCTGTTTTTGTCATGGACCACGCCCAATAGTTTGGAAAGTGGTGCTTATTACAAATTTTTATGTGTCTATACAGCAAGTCTACTCTGAAACAATAATTGTGGTATTTTTGCACTTATGTTTACTAAGCACTCTCTGAGACACTGAGCAGTTGTCCCATGTGATTTCACTTGTGTTAGCCTTTGTTACTTATGTAGATTTTGTTCAGACCTGTATATACTTCTGACAGATTGATTTCATCGTGCAAATAAGTGCTAAGAATATTATTCATATTCAGAAATGAGCATGGCGAATTATCACCAGTATCAGTGAATGTAGCGAACTGTGTTGCCGAATTGATTCAGTTCAAAACAGGATCCAAGAAGAATAAAAAGATTTTGCTTCAAACTGGATCATGTTCTGGGTGCCAGCTTAAGGGACAGAGGACACAATAACTTGTTTACAGAAGCTTGAGCTTATGCTGTCTTAAACCATGTATGAATCTGTTTGCAGTTTGTAATATTTATCTGAGAACTATCTCAGACAACAATCCTTAGATGTCTTCTGCATACTTGTCACCAGACTTTGACAAACTTAACTTCTGTAGATATTTGAAGTGATAAAAATACAATTCAAGAAAAACATTTCTCATTACGAATTCATTATTTAACATTTAGTGCTCCTTTTATTTTGCTTTCCTCATAATTTCATTGGCCAAAAGGAAGCTTCTATGCTAATGTTGTGTGATACGATACGTACTCTACTTACGACTGCAAATGTTGTTAATGCCTTAGTGGAGTATCTTTGGATACACTGAGGTGTTGTTGATCTCTTGAAAGAGGAAGAATAATAAATATAGACTGTATTGTAGCTGTGCATAACCTTAAACTCATCATTTTATGTCATTAAAAAGTTTAATTTTTTAAAAATTAAGAAGCTTTTAATTTTTAAGTCTTTTTTGATACTTCTAGAATACAGGCACTAGTATCTGTTCTACCTTTGATCTTGCAGAGATGAACAGGACACTAGTTTGTGAGATTTTTTCCTTATGTTTTTCTCTTCCAACTCTACTTTTCTTAGAAAGTAGGGTTGGATAATGCTTGCTATATCACTAGTTGTGCTTTTCTGAAGGAAGCTTTAACATTTCCACACATCAAGATATTTTGGAAGGAGTGGTTTCAGACAGACTGTAGGTTTGGGCAACAATTGCTGGAAAAAAACAGTCAGGAAATGAATTCTCTCTCTTGGTGAAAGACAAGAGTGGTAGAGAACATAGACTGGAAAAAAAAGCAAAAAACCACAATTTCAGTGGACATTATTTTAAAAAATTACTTGCAGAGGAGTGCTTAAATGAGAAAGATTTGCCTTACCATCTTATAAAATCAAAATACTAAGAAGCCTGTACAAACTGTAAATATCCAGCTGGGACACATGAGAGGATGCAGTCTCATGAAGAATAACTTATAAAGTGATAGCTGCAGTAAGATCTTGAAAGTGCATCTTTTACTGTGATGGTGCTGATCTCAAACGGCAGGAGTAATCATCTCCTTAGTTTTAATTTAAAGGAGAATAAATAGCTCCTTCACCCTGTGGAACAAACACAAGTGTGCCCAGTTTGCAGGCTTTGGGTCTGTTCTTAAAGAAAAACAAAAAGCACAGTCCGGTAAATCAAAGGCAAGTCTATATCTTGATCTACAGAGATTCAAAGTTAAGGATACAAACAGTCTTCAGAAAGTGGTTCTTCATATGTGGTTTATTTTTAACCGTTATTACATCACGAACTTGAGAAATGAACTTGAGTTGAAGGGCACTGCAACGGTTCTCAAGCCAGAAGGCAAGGATAGACCATGAGCAGTGAGGGACTTTACAGCAGTAGGCCTTACTACGACATTGTAGTTGTCCCTATTTTGTTTTGTTTCATTTTTTCTTCCTCACAAATCCCTTGTCTTTTCTCCCATCGTTCTATTCTGGTGACTGTTCACTGAAGGATATGATTCTATATAGGCTAGCTTTTTTCCTTCCTGGAAAACAGCTGTGTTACGGGACTGTAAAGGTCTTTTTGTAGTGGCTATGTCCACTGAAAACCACAACTATGCTGACCTGGGATCCATGCTCATCTCTGATTTTCACGTATGTGCTCTGTAAAATCTTTATTGTAAAATCCCAGTTCAGCACTGCGATTCCAGATGTAAGTCCTGTGCACGTAGTACCAGGGACCTTTCCTCATGGTCACCCTTTTGCAAGACTGGAATGAATTGTCCAGAGAGGTTGTGGATGCCCCTGCCCTGGAGGTGTTCCAGTCCAGGTTGGATGAGGACTTGAGTAACCTGGTCTAGTTGAGAGGCGTCCCTGCCCATGGCAGGGAGGTTGATTAAATGATCTCTAAGGTCCTTTCCAACTCACGCCATTCTATGATTCTATGGACCTGTCTGGTTCAGCCCACTGCCAAATGTTCCCTCTCCCAGAACAATTGCCTCCAATTTCAAGTAGCTCCCATCCAGATACCCACCTTGTCATTAGCTCCAGCTTTGAGTGGGTTGACTGAAGATGTATTTTTAAAGAACAGTACTCTTAAAGCAGAACAAATTGTCCCATTTGTAGTTCACAGACGTAAAAATAGATAACTTTTGATTTCTTCGCAGTGCATTGATGCCACTGAATCAGCTAACCTTTTGTATGCAATCTCATTTCATACACAGCCTCCTTCATCGCGTGATGTCAGTACAATCTCAGCATGCAGTGCTTGTCCATCAGCAGCAAAATGGGATTAGCGGGGATCAACCCATGTTGTTCAATGCAGTAGCACAGAGCTATTGCCCTGAATGTAGAAAAACTAGCAGTTTTGGTTTGGGTTGGGTTTTTTGGGGGGTTTGTTTAGGTTTTTTTTTGTTGTTGTTTTGGATTGGTTGGTTTTTATGTTGTTTTGGAACATCATCATATTATCTAGTGACAAGAAACTTATATATAATTGAATCTGCCTTACAATTATGTTCATCAAAATTGACTTCTGGGTGAGGAAGCATTGCAAAATCAGACACATATACCATAAAAATAGAGGGACCAGTAAAATGCCTAAAATACCTCTGAAGCCTTATGAACTGTGGACTGTATCAAGTATACTTCGGGCTATTCTTTTGTCTAAGTGCAGAATTTTTATATGTTTCAACATATGTTTATGTGTTTCAACATATAAAACCAATTAGTTGGATTTGTGATGTGGTTTTCTTTTTTTTCATTGTCTTGATTCAAGCACACTAACAATAAGCCAGCTTGCTTTTTTTAATTTTAGGTTCTAATTTAATGTATGTATTCAGATTAATATTAGAAGTACTGAATGATAATTTGTAGCAGTTGACAACTAAATTTGCTCCTGAAATTTTTCCTTGCTGACGACATATTAATGAAATTTGGCTAGAAGTAACATCCAAATAATGCATATTTAAAAGCCCAATTAACTGTAAAATTTATGCAAATCCATTAAATACATGCAAATATGCTAATAAAAGCAATAAATGTGGCTGTATTGTCTAATATTATAAAATGTATTATCACAAACTCCAAGCATGCTTTTAAGGATAATTTCAAGATTTGTTCAAAAACATATTTGCAGCTCTTGCATTAGTATATAAGTAACTTAGAAAGCTATTTTATATTGCTAGTTTTTATTGTTATATGTAGATATATACACACATACATACTCAACCAAAACAAGTGAGATTCTAATAGAAATGGCTTCCTGAATTTCTAGTATAATATTGATCTCCATTTGATCTGCTTTAGCTCACTAATGTGATCATAGGATCCAATCTCATAAGCACTTTGTAATTTTACAGGTGTGAGTAATAATGGAAGGATCAGCTACAGTAAAGTGCGTAAGTGTTTTTTAGGTTTAAGGCCTTAATGACTAGTTAATACTCTGATAAGAGGAATGAATGTTTGTAAAAATTGACACATTACAATACTGTCTCGGAACATCCAAATGACTTTGTAGTTGTAGTTGTTTCGTATCATCTTCAGTACATCTGCGAAACTCCCATTCCATCTGCCCCATGTGGTTCCCTGAGTATGGAGAGGAAAGCAGTGTGTTGCAGCATATTTTCAAGACAGTGTTCTTGAGTTGAAAATATGAGCACAGAAATATTACTAGTAATAAATCAATAAAATTTCTCCATTGATACTGGATGAAAGCATCAGTATAAAAATATTTGGGAGAGGGGAGAAATCCCCAGAAGTGCTAAAGCTCATTCTAGAGCTACAGATGACTGTAAATAACTGGCAGTCGTCAGAGTTAAATATTGAACCTTGTACTGTCCCTTACACCATACCAACAATGCTTTTGTTGTATTCTGTATGTACCCTTCTGTGCTGTGGCTGACATCAGTTTTTGTTATTGACTTTCAGTATGGTTTCACCATCCCACATAGGCTGCGCAACATAGTGCTCGTTCTTCTGTTTTAATTTACTTCTTCCCACAAAACCTGGAGGCTCTATTCATGTGTGGAAGGTGCTTATAAAGTGGAATAAGCATGAGAATTCAGTGCCTGAAAGCATGCTGCAGAGACCTGTAGTCTTGAGGACCGGAGCTGTCCACTCTTAAGTGTTTTGGTTTTTTTAAGCAGAGCATGGGTTTTGCAGAAGAACACGGTGCTTAGATGCAGAAGTGGGCTCTGAATACACCAGATTTCTGCTAGCATAGGCTCACCAACAGATATGTGGAGATTTGTTCCTGAATGGCATTCAGATGGACTTAAGTACAGAAAATACACATAACTAGCCAAGACAGTTATTTCGGAAAATAAGGCAAAAAGGAGCCAAATTCCCCGTTTCCTGATTTCGTTGGCAGTGTGGCCTCGCAGATGTTTGTGTTGGGAGCTACAGGGCAGTTGTGTGGAGATGCAAGGGTGCAAGTCAGGGATGCTTAGGTCTTGGTTCCAGGGCTGACTCACATCGATTTAGACTGTACCTGAAACAATGTTCTAAAGAATTTGGTGTAGTGTGATCCTTCTGACATTATGCTTTTTAAAAGGAAGATTAGTAACTGCTGGTGTGTCATGCATCTATGAGTTGTGGTACGGCACTGGTGTGCTAATGTTCCAATATCTGATACGTATTCTAATGACCAGAAGTACTATATTGAGAATTATCTTTTCTGAAATACATAAACCTCAAAGGCAGGTTTTTGGCTTTGAGTATATGTCACTTGATTGTGATTTTCTTTGTCTTGGTAAATAGACAGAAAACAAAGCCTCATTGTATGTGAAGTCAACTTTGAAAGGCTTTCTGTAATATTTTTTAGATGTCTTGATCTCATTTTTTTTGCCTTGTGCATTGCCTCTTGATTTTGTAGTTTGTTAAACAGACTCCTTGGAAAAAATTCTGTACTTTTTGTCCTAAATTTAAAAAAAAACAACAACCAAAACAGAAAAAACAGTTTACAGAACACTACAGTGCCGTTTTCATTGTTGTGGTACTTAATTTCTGGGAGAAACTTGAAGACTGTGTTTCTTCAGGTTTCTGTTGGCCTATTTCCTCAAATGTGCTATCAATATTTTTTGCCCCGTGTCTTTCAAGTGAAGAATGTTTGGTCTGGATGTGACTGCTGCACTCAAATGGATTAATTCTGAGCAATGGGAGGAATTCCTTGAGGTTCTGCTAAGTTTTTTATATTTAATGGTCAATAGTTTAGAGGTATTGTCTTAATCATTTAACGAATAAATACAAGTTTAAGTGGTATTGAGTGGCTGCTCTATTTTTAGAGTGAATGTTTTCCTGGGTATCACGTAACGGTGTCCAAGGAAACAACTCCACAAAATAATGTATAAATATGCAGTATTTTATACAGTGTTCCTCATGCAGCTCACCTAGAGTACAGATATAGCAAACGTGTAACTGCTCTGGATTATTTAAATATTACTTCTGTGAGAGCCATCACCTACAGTCAACTGATTTTACTGAGTGGGTCTGACAGCCTTAAAGGGTGGTAATTAAATATTGTACAGCATAAAATGTAAAATGTCAGAAGTCCACCTGCTCATATGCTACGATTTCTGAAGAAATACAGGGCTTCTTGACAACAGCTTCTTCAGGAAGGTGGTTTGTTCAAAATACTTTGCGTAGCAAGTCCAAAGAAAATCATTCTTTATTGCCAATAGATATGTAAAAATTGAGTAATTGTTAGTAGAGCATAGAGTCAGGTTAGTTAAATGAATGTGTAGTAGATGATGCCAAAGTATGATTAAGCTATATGACAGTGGTGTTTGAGACAGCTCATGTAAATAATTTTAAAAGGTTATCGTGATGCGTCGCAATCTTCATGAACATAAGGCTGTTCAGAGAATGAATAGTTCCACATATGTAGAGTTTTGACATTTCTCCATTCCCTATCAAAATAGAAAAGAGAAACAAAGCAAACAAACAAACAGACAGAAAACCCGCAAAACCCCCAGAACAACAAAAACCTCACAAACAACCAAAAAACAAACCACAAACCAAACCACCTTGGAAGTTTTCTGGAGCAAGGGTTGAAGTTAAGGTGGGTGGAAGAAGAGTCCTGTCTTATCAAAACCGGTAGCTGATTCTTGGGGTGTTTAATGAGATTTTGTTACAGTTGAGACAATCCAAAGTCAAGCTGCAGCTACAAGAAGTGAATGAGGTTCTGCCTCCACACTCTTGTCAGCGCCTGTATCTGTGTGCCCCATATTGATCTAGTTCAGAAACGTGGATCAAAATTGCACTCCTTTTTTGCTGGCCAAGGATCTTGAGCCACCTTTTTTGTAGCAGCAGTGAATTGTGTCAGGCTTGCTGTCACACAAAACTTCCTCCTTACTCAGCATGTGGAGAATGCCCAGATTCAATCCCCATTGTATACCCAAATCATAAATTCAGTGTTTCTGATACCTGTCTTACCTTGATTAGAGAAAACTTCTCTTGTGTACTCTATTTTTGTGAAATTAAAGTAATTATTTGTATATTTGTGTGGCTTCCATGTCAAGAATGGATAGTGGTTACTGAATAACACATTTTCCTGCAGACTTATTCAGCTCTATCAGAGATGTTTGATTTAAAGGAAAATGTTGCCATGTATGACAGGTGATTTTCATTCTTTATTAAAGATAGCTGAAGCAAGCATCATTCCAAAATGTAGGCAGTGAAATCTGAAAGCCAGCTTGGGCTTTTTATCACATAGTAGAGATGCTCATGGGACATAAGAAAAAGAGGTAGTTGAATATGTGGCATTATATATTCATAAAATGTGTTTGAAAATGCGTTTACATTCGTAATAAAAACACTTTCTTTCTTTAATCCACCAGCTGACTGACATGTGACAGTACGTCAGTTGCTGAGGCCTTGCACAGAAACGCTAGGCAATTCTGCAGGCTCTCCAGAGCTCAGATTAAGTAAATCCCGTTAGGTAAATCCAGCACAGGAAAGAAAGTAGTGGTGTGGCTCTTTAAGATATCTGGACAGAGAAAATAAACACTGGAGATTTATTTAAAAATTACTTAACTTGGGAGTAATTTCAAGTCAGGGTTCGTGGCTGGTTTAAGTTGCAGTTAAAGGAAAAGGAGGAGACATCTTTATAAAATAGTTATTTTTAACTAATTCCTCAGACAAGCTTCTTGGTTATATACACTGTTGTTCTACTTGACTCTGACAGTTCTCCTAACTATAAAATAAAATTCAGTTCCATTTATCACAGAATCATAGAATAGTCAGAGTTGGAAGGGACCTCCAGAGATCATCTAATCAAACCCCCCACTCCCCTCGCTAAAGCAGGATTGCCTAGAGCACATCACACAGGAACGCATCCAGGGGATTTTGAAAGTCTCCAGAGAAGGAGCCTCCACAACCTCTCTGGGCAGCCTGTGCCAGTGCTTTGTCACCCTCACAGTAAAGAAGTTTGTCCTCATGTGTAGATGGAACTTCCCATGTTCCAGTTTGTGCCTGGTGCCCCTTTTCTTGTCACTGGGCACTACTGAAAAGAGTCTGGCTCCATCCTCCCTGCACCCACCCTTCAGATATTTGTAAATGTTCATAAGGTCTCTTCTCAGCCTTCTCTTCTTCAGACTGAACAGTCCCAGCTCTCTCAACCTTTCCTCTTAAGAGAGATGCTTGAGTCCCCCAGTCATCTTCATTGTCCTCCACTGGACTCTCTCCAGTAGTTCCCTGTCTCTTTTGAACTGAGGAGCCCAAACCTGGACACAGTATTCCAGATGTAACCTCACCAGGGCAGAAGAGAGGGAGACGATGAGTTCCCTTGACCTACTGGCCACACTCTTCTTGATGCACCCTAGAATACCCTTGGCTTTCATGACAATGAGGGCACATTGCTGGCTCATGGTTAACTTACTGTCTACCAGGGCTCCAAGATCCTTTTCCTCAGGCCTGCTTTCTAGCAGATCTGCCCCTGACGTGAGGTTGTTCCTTCCCAGGTGCAGGCCCTTATTGAACCTCATTAGGTTCCTCTCTGCCCAACTTTCTAGCCTGTCCAGGTCACGCTGGATGGCAGCACAGCCCTTTGGTGTGTCAGCCACTCCTCCCAGTTTTGTATTAGCAGTGAACTACACTCTGTCCCCTCATCCAGGGCATTGATGAATAAGTTGAACAAGACCAGACTCAGTACTGACTCCTGGGGAACAGCACTGGTTACATGCCTTCAAGTCGACCCTGCACTGTTTATCATGACCCTCTGAACACTCACTCAGATAGTCTCAGACCACCTCACTGTCCACTCATCTAGCCCACACTTCCTGAGTTTCCTAATGAGGATGTTAGGGGAGATGGTGTCAAAAGCCTTGTTGAAGTCGAAGTAGGTTACATCTACTGCTGTCCCCTCATCTAACCAGCCAGACCTGATGTTATAGAAGGCTAT